AAAAAATAAAGTATATTCTATTCTAGAGCTTTCTTCTGCCCAGTGCATCTGGCAGAATATTACTGCTTTGGCCCCAGAGAACCTTCTGGCACCCACTCCCACTCCACCCTCTATTGTTTAAAGACAAAAGATAAGGCAGCTGGGACTCTGACCACTCACAAATAATCAGAGGCCTCTCCACTGGGAAACTCTGCTGGTCTTGGCAGAAACTAACATTTTAAAATGAAGGTAAAACAAAGGGTAAGTACTCCTGCTTCTGCCCAAAGCCTTATGCACGGGTTTGTTTTTCTTGCCAGTTGTAGTGGCCAAGAACAGTGTTTCTCCGCTTGCACCAGGACAGCGTGCCAGGATCAAATAATAGTGGACTTCTCTCAATTACAGAAACAAGCACAAAATGCGTGGCAGTGAATCGGCTTTATTTTCACAAGTTTGGCTCTTGCTATCACCAGCCGATACTGAAATCTAGGATTTAGCACAATCTATGATTATACCAGCACAAAATAATCCAGTTATTTTCAGTTCAACATTTGTTTTTCAGAGAGCAGCAGGATTTCTTCGAGTAACTTTGGCAAGCACCATCCTAAACGCTGCTGTAGCCAGGAGTAGGGGTGGGTCTTTATTACCTAGAGGATTCTCTTTAAACACTTTCCCTCGTTAGGTATTGTAATTATTTAGATCCCCACATTCTGCAACCCAGGGTTAAGAGTCAGATGACCTGGGGGGCTTCTTTTTAAGACTGTCACTTTCTAGTTGTATAACCTGGAGCAAATACTTCCGGGTTGTAAACCTTGCTGTGTCATTTGTAAAACAGAAATTCTAACTTCATCACAGGGTTTTTTGAATCATACAAGGAAATAAATATGTGAAACCATCTTGCAAATGAAAAATTATAAAAGGTTAGATAATTTCCTCCCACTTATTATTAAAGTTTTTAACATAAGGTCATTGCCTAATTGATGTGTTTGTTCCTTAAAGTGTCTAGTAAAGTGCTGGCTCCTAACCAGCCCTTTGGTTAGTTTTTCCTAACTGAATATTTATTGACTGAGGGATCAAATGATTGAATTAACTAACTTTCAGGCTGCTATAATTTTACATTTCTATTTCCAGAGAACTCCCCCTAACTCACTAGGATAGACATTGACATAGGTGAAAACAGGTTCGACATGTTGATACATGTTCTAAGGAATTCTAAGGAACTTTATGTAGTTCATGCTAAAATGCTTACTAATGAAAAGAAATGTAGCCTTTGACATTCTCTTGAAATGATAGTCTTGTAGTTTCTGAAAGGCATTTTAAGCATAAGGCCATAGTGATGTGCTTCAATTGGTAATCATTTTGATTGATAACAAAAATTACTCGAAACCTAAAACAACCTGCACCAAGTGATTGTGTAATAAGTGCCAAATGGTTTTAAATTTACTCAATGAACACAATGCAGTAGTTAAAATGAATCAATATGGAACAACACATCAAAAGTATGTTGAAAAATATAAGCAAGTTGTAAAGTATATATAGTATATAATGGTGCAAACATAGTTTTAAATATGCAAAAAGCTTGATATCTTATGCATGGATGCATACTCTGCAGCAAAAGTATAAGAGTGTGCAAGGCTAGCATGCACCATTCTGCTCTACACAACTACAGGGGATCTGTCCTTATCCCAAGCCCTGAAAACATGCACTGAATGAAAAAGTCTAGCTCAGAATAATTGTTACCCCTAGAAGACAAGGTGAGGACCAATGGAGATAGGGGAGGAATATCTTTAGTTGTATTTAGATGCTTCATTATTAAAAAATATATTTGAAGCAAATATTGTACAATGGTAAGGTTTGACAAGCTCTGTGATGGGTATACAGGTATTATGTTACTCTCTATGCTTGAAATATTGCTATAGCTTAATGTGTGAGTTCTGATACTATGTAACAAGAAAAATAATTAAAATATCTCAGCTTCAGTAATGCAGTAATATTTATAACAGTAACCACATACTTTTACTGTAAGGTTCTAAAAATCTATTGCACTGCTAATAAATTCAGAGATAAAATATTTTGTATTCTCAAATTAAATAGGCAAGAGTAAAACTTACAATAAGACCTTCTCGGGTATGAAAAGAAAAGAATTTATATAAATTTCCACTCAAGCCCTTTTTGGAGGATACTCGAGGAAAAAGAAATTTGTGGGTAGCTCTGAAGAAGATGATCTTATTTACTTTGGGAGTAGAGATGGCGCTGGCTCTCTGTATCCACAGATTAAAGCAACCAAAGATGAAAAATATTGGAAAAACAGCAATAATAAAAAATAATGCAAATTTAGAAAGTACACTATAACAACTATTTATATAGCATTTACATTGTATTAGGTATTATAAGTAATCTAGAGCTGATTTAAACTATATGGAAGGATATGCATGGGTTATATGCAAATATTACACCATTTTACATAAGGGACTAGAGTATTGGCAGGTTTTGGCATCCACAGTGTGTGGGGAGGGTGGGGTGGGAGTGGGAGTGCCCGGGAACCAATCCCCCTAGATACTGATGGACGACTTTTAAGGTATAAGACACATGTACTGAAATGCTCACTGCTAAAGTTTAGCAGTTACTTGAGGCAGGGGAAAACCTATACAAAATCAAATTACAAAGACATCTTCAAATCCTGATAATTGCCGAATTCCTAAATGGCAGACAATTTCCTGTCTCAGTATGAATGATCCCATCTCTTTTGGGAGTTACTAAAATTAAACTCAAAAATGTATAGTTTACATACCAAAACATCCATCCCGGGGACATATTTGAGGGTAATCATGTAGTCTTTTGGAAGATTTGCCACCTACAGAAACCAAAAAAAAAAAGGGGGGGGGGAAGAATTCTGTTAGAAAATTCATACACATCAATTAATCATATTATTTTTAGTGGTTTGGAGAAAAACAGAAATCTGTTACGCTTTTTAAAGTTACCAGTGGATTTTAATATTTACATATATATTGATTTTTCATCTTAGATTTCCCTTTGTAATCAAAGGCACTCTCCAAAAAAATAAAAAAATAAAAAAAATAAGTGATAATACAAATCTTTTGGACCTCAAATTCAGTTATGCTTGGCTAAGCATAACCTACTGAGTTTTGGAAACATGATCTGAATTTCCACTTCCATTTGTGTTCTTGGAATTCCCCGCGGGACTATTTTCCTACTGTTTCTCCATAGAATTAGTAATAAAGTATGCTTCCTTGTCAGGAGTTCTCAAAGCATGGACCTCCACGTGATGTGCCAGCAGCAGGAAACCTGTTAGAAATGCAAATTCTCTGACCAGGCCATGCCTGACCTACGAATCTTACTTAACAAGTCCTGCAGGTGATTCTGATGCATGCTTAAGTTTGAGAACTACTGTTCTATGTCGATCCTAAAAAAAGCTGGATGAAATTACAAAAGAACAATGCTACCTATGAGATCCAAATGCTTTATAACTTAAATAAGTTAGAGAGATTCAGTTTGTGATGTAACAATCTGCTTAGCATAGGCTGAGCATGTGAGATGCCTCAAAGGTCTGCCTAGCTTCTTTTAAAGGCTTTAATCAATCGGGGCACGAGTGAATAATAGATTTGGAACCACAGAATTTGGAACAAATCTAAACTCTTTGTACATTGGTTCCTCTCATTTACAAAATGGAGATCAAAGTACCTATGTCAAATGGTCATTTAGAATTGAAATAGATGAATGTGCCAAAACACACTGTAAACACTCAATCCATAATCTTATTGAAAGCTGTATTGGCGACTAACTTCAGAGGCACAAAATCCTGTTAAGGTATAGAGTTCTAGGTTCTCTTATTTCCCCTCCTACATACAGCACCACCATCATCCCCACCTTTGTCTTATATCACCAGCTGAATAACATAGCCAACAACCGACTTAGCACACTGGGTATTAAGACAATACACAATGTAAAAAAAGTGGCTTTGCACCATTTCATCTTCGACGGATCTACCTTGCTTTATAGACTTATTTTACTGTCCATCCTATCTTTAAAAACTTTATTCTCCCTATAGAAAGCTGAGATCATGTGCACGTTTGCTAGGCTAGGCTATCTCCCACAAGTTTCCCATAACATTATTAATCACGTGGCTCTTCTTGGCCTTGCCATTAGCTCCTAGAATCTAAGAGCAATTTAGTGAGAAAAGAATCCGGGCTTAGTCAGACAGGAGCCAAGGTAGTAACTGATGCCACCATGCCCACTGCCATCCTACTTCCAGTGGACCCACCCCACACTCATTTTAGCCCAGAGCTGAGACACCTAATCTGGCTGCTCCTTCTTCAGTTCAGTTCATCATAAAATGCTAACGGTGCTTAACGTTTACTGAATATTTACTATATTCCAGGCACTATGATCATTAAGGCATAGGTTGCATTATCACATCCTATCCTCAGATCCCTCTGTCATATTATCTCCATTTAACAGATGAAGAAATTGAGGCTCAAAGAGGTCAAGTAACTTGATTAAGGTCAGACAGCCACATGTTAAGTCTGGACTAGAATCCAGGTCCTTCTGAGTGCAGAGCCTCCCTCTTCTCCCAGCTTCACCTCACATTTTCATCTATTCTCTGGGCACTTGTCCTCACTATTTTCTACTCATGAGTCCCCACCATTATCCCTCTTCATGTCACTCTTAATAAAAATAGTAGAATCCCTGCTGCTTATTGAAGACACTTCTGAGCTGCCACAGAAGGTAGTATTTTTTTTTATTTATTTTCGGGGTTAATGACCTTGCTCCTTGCACTTTTTTCCTCTCAGTCAAACTTCCCACATCCTTTCTTTCATAATTTCTTTTCTCTTCTGAATCTTCATCCCTATCTTCGAAAAGCAATATGATCTAGTCATTTTATGTAAACTCTGGTAGCAAAAACACAGCAGACACCTTTGCCGGTGTGAAAGCTGGAATATGGATGGAGCAGCAACATTCTATTTTGCTATGAACCAACCATGTAAATGAAAGCTGTTCCAGATTCAAAAAGGCAGCAAGAAGTGGCAGGTATTCCGAGCACGAGCTGTTTGACAACCTAGCCCCTTCTTCAGCATAATTTACATTATTTTAAAACTACAAATATATAATCAATTGAATTAGTATTTAGAAAACTTAGGATCTGAGTATATGTCTAAAGAGCAGAGAAAATATAAGGGATATGCTAGCCAATTCCATTTTATGAGTAATTTATTATATTAATATATACAAAACATTGGTTCGAAAACATTTCTCTCACCAAGACTGACATCTCCACACTGTACTCCTTGGGGGAGAGTATAATAATTAATTTTTGCATTAAGCTGATTTACTGATATTTAATTTCTAGTGGGACTGAAAAATAATACTATTTCTGAAAAGTGCTTTACAATTTATAAGTTTTTCATACACAGTCTTTACCACAACCCCATGAGATACCTTATTAAGCCTATTTTACGGCTGAGGGTATGGAGACTCAGAGAAGTTAACTGGCGTGTCCAAGGTCACGGGCATCAGGAGGACTTGGTGGCGGTAGGATGCCTCGGCCCTGCGTGCTGGTGCTCAGCACATCTACCTACAGAGCAGTCTCCCCTTTATTACTTTCTTGGCTTTTGTTGGTTCCTTTCCAATTACACTCGGAAGAGAATTTAGGAAGTCAAGTTGTAGATATTTGTGGTCACTTCATAAACTATTATATTACTTTGTAAGCATTTTATACAGGATGGGCATCTCTAATCCAAAAATCTGAATCTGAAATGCTGCAAAATCTGAAACTTTTTGAGCGCCGACATGGTGTCACAAGTGGAAAATTCCACATATAAATACTTAAAAGAAACTTTGTTTCATGTACAAAATTATTTAAAATATTGTATAAAATTACCTTCAGTCTATGTATATAACCTGTAGATGAATTTCATGTTTAGACTTGGGTCCCATCCCCAAGATAGCTCATTATATATGTGCAAATATTCCAGAATCTGAAAAAATCCAAAATCTTAAACACTTCTGGTCCCAAGCATTTTGGATAAGGGATATTCCACCTGTAGTATGTTGAATAGTATTCACAAGGCACAGATAACCTTGTGATAAATTTGGCTTCTCTGATGTAAATTGATCATTGTGGAAAGTTTTGTAGAGTAGAGAGAGCCTTTGGCCTGGAACCTGGAAGATGTTCCTTAGAGGCAGTGAATAACTTCTGGAAACAGAGTGCTCAGGTTGGATCCTGACCCTGCCAACCTGCTAACTGAGGGTCTTAGGCAAGTTACTTCATCTACTTTAACCTAAATTTCCACATGTGTAATGGGAATCATAATAGACTCTAGCTAATGGGTTTATAAGGATTAAACAACTCCTGTAAAATACTCAGTGCTTAGGCACAATGTGTGAACAAGTATTATATGAGTTTCTACTAATGTTAAATGCAAGGGAGTGGGGCATTCTAGATAGAAGAAGGGTCATATGCTAAGGCAAAGAAATGGGAAAGGTCATGGTGTGTTAGAGAGACCAGATAAGAGGTAAGAAATATGCCAGGAAAGCCACATTGAGAGATGGATCTCTTGAATGCTGGGATAAAGAGCTTAAACGGGAGGCAGTAAGGTACACTAGGAAAAGTTCTACCACTAGAACCCTACAGCAAAAGTCTACTTCTGCTTAGGCACATTGCATCATCTTGGTGGAACTTCTATTCCTTGTCTGTAAAATAAAGAGGGTAAACTAGATAATTACTAAAATTTCAGTGTGGTTTGACTTTCTTACATAAGTTATGGTGCAGCACAGAACATGTTTAAACAGGGAAGAAGCATGATGATAAATTTAGCAAGATTAGTCTGGAAGGACGAATTGGTGCAAAGAGAACACAGACAGGCAGAAGGTTAGAAGACCACTAGAAAAGTATCAAATATCCACTAAACATTTATACAGAAACTGGAAACTAGAAAAGCAGAAATCTGGTCTAGAGTCCAGGGAGGTATCCCCTGTTGATAGAGTTAAATGGATAAGTAACTAAAGCCACATATTTTGAAAACAAATCTATCCTACTAAAAAAAAAAAAAAAAAAAATAGAATTAATTGAGGGAAAATTTTACCAAAGGCCAAATCATTCCAATGAGCTTTAGTGTGGATGAAAGGATACCAGATGGTAAAAATTGTACAAAACTACAAAAACAAGTTACTTCATGATGGGCTAACTTTAATAAATGGGCCCCATTTGCCATCATCTTTGGCTGTTCTGAGGACTGACCATACTCAGTGACACTGCAAAAAAAAATGCACAGGAGAACAGCACTTGGAAATGCTGGAAACTTGGCCAGGAAAAAGTCTGCAAGCCAAACTGGAGCTGGCCACATATCATATCCTGTGGGTTTTTGGACTTGAGAGAAAAAGAACTCGAAGTCAGAACAGTTTCTAGATCACTGGATGTCATGATTCAAATATCATTGAGGCCCCTAAATCTCATGAAATCAGTGGCCACTTGGCTATTCTTGGCAAGATCCTTACTAGTCTCAGTTGTCTCTCCCAAGTCCAACAGAGAAATCAAACTGCAATAGTGACTCATTCCTTCCTCGACACTGTATATAAAGTGTGCACATGTGAACCTTTCTGGGGAAAGAGTCCATGGTTTTCAGTCTCACCAGACCCAGTGAAGTTTAAGAATCCTGGCTGGAGAGGCAAAAAAGCTCTACTCTTCTATCTAAATATCATAGTTCACCCATGTATAGCAGCCTTCCAAAATAATGCAGGAAAAGTGTTTTGCTTTTCTGTTGCTTCTGATAAATTATCTCCCACTGACACTGATTAAAAACCTAACCAACCAGGTCAATCACCTGTAGTTTTCAA